TTGTTACACAGTGGAAATTAAACCATGTGGTATTGACGTGTGGTAGACAAAGAACCATGTGACACACCTTGCACCCACAGACCGTGGATCTATGGCAGAGCTGCCACTGCAGAGCAAGGGGGATGACCGCCTTTCAACAACAGCCGCCCACGTGGAAAACAGTGAACACACTCCCTACCTCACACCGCACACAGAAACCTGCCCCAGGTAGATTGACCAAGGTTGGAAAGCATCTTGAAGATGATACAGGAGAATATCTTCCTGGTCTCAGGGAGGGGAAGAATTCTTCAATAAGATAAACAAGCACTAACCATAAAAGGAAATATTGATAAAAGGACTACATGAAAATTAGGAGCTCCTGCTCATCACAACATAGCCTTCAAAGGGTGGAAAGGGAAACCAAGTCTGGGAGAAGGCATTAGCAACCCCAAAATGACAAAGGGCTTGCTGTGGGCCCAACAGGTCTTCCCACGTCCTGACCCCCTGCACCTGTGGATGTGGCCTTATTTGGAAATCAGATCTTTGCAGATATCATCAAGTTAAGATGATGCCAGACTGGATCCAATGACCGGTGTCCTTACAAGAAGGGGAAATTTGAACACAGACACACACAGGGAGGCCATGTGATGACTTGAAGTGATGCAGCCACAAGCCAAGGGACGCCTGGAGCCACCAGAAGCTGGAAGGGGTAGGAAAGAGCCTCCCCTGGAACCTCCAAGGGCGTGCAGCCCTGTGACACCTGGATTTCTGACTTCGGGCCTCCAGGGCTGTGAGAGTCAATGTCTGTTGTTTGAAGCTCCCTCTGCCCCCCATTGTGAGTGTGTTATAGCAGCTCAAGGAACCCAACACAGGGCAGATATCTAAATTAGGTGAAGAATGTCTCAACTGAGTAAAGAAAACAGCAACCGTTGTTAAAATGGACAAAAAGAGAATTTCAAACGGCCCTGAATACAGAAGAGGTGCTTGCCCTCACTGGTCCTGAAGGCAGACAAGCTGGAACCAACATGAGGATACACGGTGAAGCCCCTCAGGTCCCAGGGGAGCCCAGGCAGGGCCCACTTGCATTCGCGGCTGAGGCTGAACCTGGGCCCAGCCCTCACTCCTGGTGCAGAAGGGCAGGCGTGCAGGACATGCACAGCAGTACTGTCCCCCCAGAACTGACACCGCCATAGGTCACACATGAAAATAAACCGAGGCATTCCCACGGCGGAGTCCATTAGAGCGATGGTGTGAATGGTTACAGCCACACACAAGAACAGCCTCTGCCAAAAGAAGCCAGGCACAGAAGAAGGTTCAGGAACAAGCAAACACCAACCCAGGCCTCTAGCAGCCAATAATGTGTTAGGGGCACGTGCTTGAGCAGTGGACTTGGGCTGTCCAGGCCAAGGTGCTCCTGTGTTTGCAGAGGCCGAGTGGCAGGTGGCAGTGGCCTTGGGGGAGGGGCGGTTTTGGGGCCGGGTTTCTAGTCTTCACCTGGATGCTGGATGCCTGGGGTCCACTTCTGACAAATCGTTAGTCTGCATATTTGTTTTATGTCCTCTTCTGAATATTAATTATATTTCACAACAGAGAAAGGTTAGAACTAAATGAAACCAACAACTAAAGGACAGCAGGCTGGTGGCAAAGACACAGCCAGCCCATGTCTTCGCCCAGGACTGGACCCAAATGTTCACATTCAGCTTAACAGAGGGGT